AGATGGTAAAGATGGATTAACGATGCTATTTTAGTAAAAATGTCGAAGAAAATTATTAATAATGTAGAATAATTTTACATTTTATGTTCGTTCAAATATTAATTTCTATAAATCTTAATTTCTATAAATAGTTAAATAGTTAAATATAAATAGTTAAAAAGTGATTTAGTGCCTCTGTAAACATATTTATTTAGCGGAAGCTTCGTTAGAAATATACACCAATATTGATTGATATAAAATGATAACAAAATAGGATCTGTTCGTTATAATCTTGCGCACTTACGTAATTAATGGATAATAAATAGTGTCATAAGCTTTTGCTTATATTTGCAAAAGCATCTCGCGTGCGTGATATATTTTTAAGAGCAGTAGACAAATTTTCATTTCATGCAGCATTGGCCATTATGTCGTTTTCTCTATTCTGAGATATATTTCGGCTATGCCGATTCGTTTGTTCATTCAAACTTTAACTTTTAGCACTTGGCATTTCAACTTAAATCTATCATATCAACTTATCATCGAAAGACAGCTTGGTAGCAATAAGCAGCATTACTCGGACACCTCGTCCTCATCGATTCCTTCTACAGCAATACTGCGTATGCCATTTCTCAATAATGGTGTACCCTTGTCCTTTGCTAAAACACGTGCGTTCAGCACAATTTTTAATGGAGTACCTGATGGACAACACATCACTTCGATATCCTCCTTTAATATTTTCTCTTTATATGCCAACAGCTCTATCTTTAACCTGATAAAAGACCCATGTACTTCAACAGCTGGATCAATTTAAAAAGAAATTGTGCACGACGCACACTCGATTCATTGTGAAAAACATATGTGTAACAAATTGTACCTTAAGCCATCTTTTTCTTGTGCAAAATCGACAACATGACAATTTGCATTGTGATTATCTGCAATTATCGCTGGAGCTATTGTCTTTTCTTCTGGATGAACGCAAGTGTTCCATGGCACCGAAAATTCTATGTGATATCTGTAATAAACATATAAAATATATAGCCAATACATTTATTTTCTTTCTTTCTATATATTCTTATATATATTTGAGAAATTTCAATATTCATGATGATATAGTAGAAATTCTGCAATTTATTAGTATTCAAGATAACAGTCATTGAATCTAAAATTTCACAAACTATATAATTTATAAACTTTATATAGAACGAATAACCTGTGATTTAGTTGCAAGAACCCTAAATGAGCGTCTATATGACCATGTCGCTGTGGTTGTATCATAATATTGTTATCTTTTCCAAATCCACTTCCACCGCTAAAGTGAACATGATGCTCTAAAAATATATCGAATATTATTAAGCCATATATATTATAAGTTTAATAATATATTTCAAGAAAAAGTATCTCCTTTGCAATATAATCAAATTTTATACATATATGCCGCAACGCATATAGTTTCATTTTATAAAGCAAATAATTTTACAAACATTTGTTTTTATATGTCGCACAGAAGTTGAAAACGAAAATATTCGCAAGTGTCACTGTTTCGTATATAATCCTTGCAGAAAGAGAGGATAATCAAATACCTTTATCTCCCATGTTTCATAAAATAGTTTGACAGTTGTACTTTCATACTGTTTGCAAACTAAACCAACGAAATCAATCGTCCCTAACAATTGGCGACGACACGAGTCTAGGTTTCAAATATAGGTTAAGGTTTAAGGTTTTGGGGATTTCGGATTTTGTTCAGAACAATTTTAAAGGTATCAAAAATGGACTTTGAAAGTATGATTGCGCATGTAATATATGATTGATTTGAATACGACAAGTTATTTTTAGATCTTGAACCTTAAATTCGAATACTAATGTGTTAAAAATAAATGTCTTCATGTAAAAAACGAACTAAATTAATTTCAATATGTCAATGTCATGTTTGAAACATCACGGTAATCGCGTTGTATTTCTCGCATTATCGATATAAAGCGCTAATAAAAAATAATATGATAATGAAAAAAAAAAGATAAATCGCCTAATGATATTTAAGAAAATTTTGTACCGTAAATTTTCTCTACTTTCTAATATATTACTATTTCTTAGAATAAAAAGAATATCGAACTATGTTATGAATCTTGCAAAAATAAACGACTCATATTTTACGAATTTACATATTATTTGAATCCAAATGAATAAAATATTACCAAGAGATCGCAAACAGCGACATAATGATAATCAAGGTAAAAGAGAAAGAGAGACGTTAAAGAGAGACTAAATCTAAATATTTAAAATCTAAAAGCATGCTAAATTTTTTCTCTGATTTTATCCGATTCAACCCTACAGACGACTTTGTATATGATTATAAGAAGATAAAAAAAATCTTTTAGAACGTAATCTTCATAACCTGTTTTGCATTATTAAATATTTAGCTAAAAAAATATTCCGTCAAAATAAAGAAATGCAAATGAATCGGAAAAATTTCATACGATACAGAGTCCATCCCCGGACAATACAAAATTCAAAAACGGGACATAAGATGAATTCAATAGTAGTATTAACAGCCTAATTGGCAATTAAATGTTTATATATTATTTGTAATTATTTAAATATATTACAAAATACTCATTTCGTGATTTTACAGTTTAACAATATTTTAAATTATTACTCTGGTGAAATGGAGTTACAAGCTAAATATTTGATGCGAAGCGTGCGCATTTATAGATGCGCGATAAATTTATATAAAAGAAACTTTGAATATTGATTAAAAATACCTAACATCGGTGGTATTAAAGTTCACGGCAATCAATCTTGGAAATCGTAAGCTGTCCTTGTCCGCGTGTCTACACTATCATCATTTGAATCGCCAGGACTATTCATACAACTAGACGCATATATAAACTAAAATACGGCAAAGTGTCGGAACTATCATGCTAAATGATCTTTTTATGACAGGAAGGACATCTATTCTTTATTACCGCGAAAATATCGTATCGTACATGGAAGGAAATTATGTAAAATAAAAACTATATAACAACGATAATGGTATACGTGCGATGTGTGCGTGCGTATGTGTATAGTGTACCACGACCTGAGATAATCGACTCGGAATAATCGAATTCTAATCGGCGTAACCGCAATAATTCCAAGAAAATGATTTACGTACTTTTCAGGAGGCGAGAGATGTTTATCTTCAGACGAAACATTTATTTCGCGAATAATTAGAAGAAAAAACTTTGGCAACTTTATATTTATTATCGAGGGAAGTACCGTAATATCAATCATAATTTCGTTTCGTTCTTATACGGCAGGAAGTAATTCACGTACGTAATGATCTTTGAAAAATCGCATACTTTGAGTTCTATGATTAAAAAGAAATCATCTAGAAACCTAAGCTCCAACGTAGTCAATACATTGATCATACGTTCATATAATAAGATATAATAAGATAGAGTTAATGCTCAAGCACATAATTTCATCCGATATTTTCTCGATAGACGTTATTAAATGATGTCAGATGTTATATTCCATTCTTTGTTACCGTATCATATCGTAAATTACCGTTGTATAATTCAATACTCGAGAGAAGGAGAGAGACTTTTATATTATTATATTACTTCTTTTTCACTTTATTAACGATTCGCTCTCTGCCTTATCTCCCTCATAAATTTGTATGATGCTTTCGTCCCATTACACTTCTTTATATTAGTATGCAAAAGATTTAGCGAAGATTCCCGTTGTAAAAAGTTATATAATATATTGATGATCTTTTTATTTGCTATTTAAAAGTTTATCGGTCATTAATCATCTTGAAAAAATTCAGACTCTTATTTAATATTCCTTGTTTTTGTTGTTTTTTGTATTAAGTTTCTCACATGTAATAAGTGTTATATAGAAACGGATTTTGCTATTAGTATTCATCCTCGGAGATTAATAATAGAATTTCAAGATCCAAAATGTATACATACATACATACATACACACACACACACACACACACACACACACACACACACACACACACACTTATTT